ATTGATTTTTTAACCGTTAGGAGAAAAGTGGGGTCCACCCGTGAGAGAAGAAGTCAAATATGATGGTTGGAATAGTGAAATAACGGTCAAAAAATCAATTTTTTGGGTGAAAAAATCGGGCCCAAACAGGCCCTAGGTATACCTGTAAGTTAAAGATTTTTGAAAAGTCAAAAGTTGCATTTAAATATGTGCATACAAATTTTTGGAACTAATTCTTCTAAGTAGAAAAGTTTTTAAAGGAAGTTGGCCTAAAAAGCTAGCCAAGGGTAGCTTCTTGATAAAGCTCTTTTACCAGAAGTAGAAACAAAAACAGAAATTCTACCAAACGGGCCATAAATCTAGTTGGTTGTTAGTCAATGCCGATAAGTTAATGCAGCATTTGGCATTTTCAATTTATGCTGAGTATTTTTCCAACTTCTTTGTTTTTGGATAGTGTTGATTGTAGTTTTTTCCCCTATGATTAGTCGATTTTGGATGCATCCCAATGTCCTTTAATGTGCTGTGCAACTTCTTGGTTAATTCACAAATAAACTTCTTGGTTAATTCACAAATAGACTGTAATATTTTTATTTCCTGCAGACAACTTCGAGGAGGCTTGCTGACAGGAAGGTGGAAAAGTTTGAGAAAAAAATTACCAAGCGAGGGCTTGTCCCTGATGCTAGCACAAAGAAGGGAAACAACTATCCAGTTGGCCCTATCTTGCTTGGCTTCTTCATTTTTGTCGTCATTGGATCATGTAAGATTTAGTCTTTCTCACAACCCTTCGTTCCAATAGCTAAATCCATATTAGTTTCTCACAACCCTTCATGTGGGCCTTTGTTATCTGTTGAAGAAAAGCTGCTTGTTAAGTGATCTGTCGATCCCATCCCACTGCATTAGTTAACTTGTTTTAGAGCTGCATTGTAGTCTGAATAATATCATAATCTTTGTTAGTCTATCTGCTGGTTATGATTCGGAGATCTATCATATTGTGCTTTATGTAAATAAAGAGCTACAGCGAACAATTATCTTATTTTTTCGCAGATTTTCTAATTGTTTTCGAATATTTCCAGCTCTGTTCCAGATAATCAGGACAGCAACAAGTGGAGGCATGGCTTAAATCTTGTGTAATGCTCTTATGAACGGTAGGCATCTTGTTGTAATATGTTAGCCCGATTACAGAAATGCAAGAGAATTTTTACTAGCTGAGTGTTTTTAATTATAACGTGAAGAGCTTTAGATATAATTATAACATCGCCTATCTTTCCATTTTTTTCTTATCTTTATATATTTTCTTTTCATGGTGTACATTGTCGTTGTTCGACGCAATGGTTCCATGTTCATTTTATAGTTACTTCTGTTAATGTTGAAGCGTTTGCCATTCATTTGGTGAAGTTAGATTGTTCAAGATTTTGCTGTTTCTAATATAAATTTGTCTGGTCAGTTCCCCAAGATAGTGATTAGGCATTGAGTGTAGAGTTGGTAAAGAGCAAAATGTGGATAAAAGATCAATTAATGGAAATGGAGATGTTAAGATTGACCGGTTCTATTAAGCCTACCTTTGATAGCCTATACGTTAAAACTCTTTTTTTACATACTTTCAACAACATATTCACATAATAAAATATTTTATAGGCAAATCTAAATTTTTTTCTTGCATTTTAATCATGCATATTTCAAAAATTCATTATTCAAACATTGTTTTTGGTAAATAATGGTTACCAAGTAGGGGCTAAAATGAAATAGATTCGATTCTCGAGATATGAAATTGGACTCTTTGTGAGTATCAGTGTATGGGCAAGATCTTGTTCCTTGACTTGTTGGGGTATATTTCGCGATTTATTTTCTTTATGATGCTCCAGGGACGGGACGGTAGTGGCCCTTAAGATTGGGGTTCAACCTTTTTTTTTTTTTAATAAATGAAATAGCTTGCAAAAATCAGTACGTGTTGACAAGTGGAGGTACAATCACTGATTTGGGCGTTGTGACGAATGGTACGTACTCTCGAGAGCACTTAGTAACGGAAAATAGGAAAAGTGGAATCATGAAAAATACATGGTTCACTTTGAGTTATGTCCAGATGATGTTGGTGTAAAATTGCAATACTCGAACAGGATTGTAGTGTTTTTTGGACTCTCGTCTCCCTCGATTCTCTCTACTATGACACACAAAACAAAGTTTGTCCTAATATACTCTGTATGGGGGAAAATATTAAAACGACCTAATAATACACGTACGAGTTTATTAGATTTTCTCTGTAACACTTAAAAAAGGTTGAAAAGGGAAAAAGTGCATTGTACACAAGGCCAGTAGGCTTATTAGATACGTACATTACGCGTAGGCTGAAAGGGTATTTTATAATTTGTTTACAATAAGTGAGAATAGAGAGTAGTTAAACAAAATTTCACATGGTGGAATCCAAACCCAAATAAAACAGTGAATCTCGTAGAATTCCTAAAATCTTTTTCAGTTTCTGCCTGAAAACCCTCTAAAGAAACCTGCTTGTTGATAAATAAATTTTGTGCCTATTTATTCTGTTCTTATTTGTCATTCCCAAGTAATTATATTTTCTACTTCACAAAGGAAAAAAGAAAAGTAATAATCAAATTATTTGCCGAATAAGATTGAATTTGATCAAGGTCTAGGCATTTTGCATTTGATCAATCACTAGAATTTAATAATAACAAGAATTGGAGTCTGTTTCAACTCGAATTGATTGAAAACTTTCGTAGATCTAAAATTTCAGCTTAATCATGATCAAGATTATTTGATTAGAATCAATCATTGATATAAGTTTCAATTCAACCTCGAATAAGAATGTCAAAACGAGATCAAGTTGAATAAAAAGCAACTCAAGACACTGTAAACTTACTTTCGAAGCCTATTTTTCATCCACTCAATTTATGCTTGGACACTTAACCCAATATTGTTGTCATTCATTATAATTGATAATAGACTCTAACTATTACGATTATTATTTTTTTCCTATTTTTCCCCACAAATTAGATGCACCACATTCTATGGCATTATATGTCACTACTAGCTTGCATATTCATTACTCAAGAGTGTGTGACATACTTCATTCACAACCTGCTAAGCTTAGGATTATGTTGTTCAAATTGTGTAAGAGAAATGATAAGAAAAGGAGTTAAGCAAAAAAAAAAAGCTCTTGTTTGAGCCCTATTCTTTGGAAAAAATACAACGTTTTGACATCGTTTTAACCGTACATTCTCAAATAAAATAATATTACACGCAAATTCAAAACCTTTCTTAATTTTTAACGACACACTTTATATCATTACACTATTCAAAAATGTATTTTCTTGACAAAAAAGGGGTTCAAACTAGGGGAAATAAAGACTGCTTAGCTTTGCTATACTGTGATGAAAGCCCAACATTAAGAAAAATAGTAATTAAAAGTTGTAATTAAAATGTAACAAAGGTCGATATGTCCGAGTGGTTAAGGAGACAGACTTGAAATCTGTTGGGCTTCGCCCGCGCAGGTTCGAACCCTGCTGTCGACGCTTATTCCTTTTATAATTTTTATGTCTTTTGTCTTCCATTCCCTGCAGTGAAAACGATGCTATTATTAGCAGTTGAACCAGTTCGATTACTGCTGATGGCCACCAGTTCAATGGTCTCGTTCGAAAAAAGTAGCGATATCTAAGTATTTCAGTTTTTAAATTTGTCGTGCCCTTCTCGTTAGAAAATAGCTATTTGTACATTGATTTTTGACACTTTGGTTGCCATTTATATTATTGTCAAGTGTCAATTGGATGAAAAAACTTCTTGAAATTTAAATTTTTCAATAAGATAATGACACATGACAAAGTGTAAACTAAAATGTACATATAGTAAGATTCTTCTCGTTATTTGAAGCGCTAGATACATTGCTGTTATAAATAATTTATAGATATTAGTAATCTTTGGTCCTATTAACTAGATTTAAGCCCCTGTTTGGTTCCCATTATTTCTTTATTAAAATGAAAAATATGATCGTTATCCATCACATTAAACCATAAAATTTGAATTTCTATTTCTTGTGTGGAGCTTATAACGGTTATACTTTTCATTCTTATTCTTCCAAAAATGAGAAACAAACGGGGGCTAAGTAGATTGATGGATTATATTTCCTTTGAGTAATCCCAAACGTAAACCATAAACAAATGTTGATTGAATCCTACGCATCTCAATCTTAAAGCAATCAAAACCAAATATAAATATTATGGTTGGACACAAGTTCAAGAAATTGGTCGGTGTAATAATACTTTATTATTTCTACATTGTCATCCTCGAGACATTGACCATACGTCTCTCACGTGCTTTCGCCACGTATTTCTTTCCCTTAACCATCTGTCATGGACCTCCACGCCGCTCCACAGGTAAATTTCTCAATGAGTCCCCAATCTTTCATAAGTATGACAATTATGTCAATAACCTTTTATTTCTTACATTTATATCCAAACTTTTAAGCATTGTGCTTACAGTAGCCCACTAGATAGATGATTTAAAATTACCCGAAAAAGACCTTGTTGATTTTGAAAACTAAATGTTGATTGCTCAAATATAATCGATGTTTTTATTTTTTTGACAATTTTGTACCCGTAGTCAGATAACTTGCGAATGTTGCGTAATCATTTAACGCCTAAATAAATATATTTCTTCACATGAGAATACTATCATGTTTGTTTTCTTTTAAAATAAAATTCTTAGATTTTCATACTCATTTTCAATTACGCATTCACATAATAAAATATTTTGTATATAAATTCAAATTTTTTTTCTATTTTTAATCACACATTTTCCAAAAAAAAATCACTATTCAAAATATAATATTTTTTCCCCAAAATAATGGGCATCAAATAGGGGCTAAACGCACACAATTAAATTTTGGGATATGTTATCATAGTTATTGAAGGTTGGGGAACACCGGGTGAAATATAACCACATATAAATCTACTAAAATATTCATTCCAGCTGCGCATTTAGAGATCTGGAGAGAGAGAAACAGAGTTCTAGAGAGAGAAAATTAAAATGGCAGATTGGGGGCCGGTGCTTATAGCGGTGGTGCTGTTCGTGCTGCTTACGCCAGGGCTGCTGTTTCAGATTCCGGGGAGGAACAGAGTGATTGAATTTGGAAACATGCATACAAGTGGACTTTCTATTTTGGTTCATACTCTCATTTTCTTTGGGCTAATCACTATTTTCCTTATTGCCATTGGAGTCCATATACACGCTGATTAAAAGTTCTGTAGTCAAACACGGAATTGTTGATTATGTCTTTGTTTTTTTGTTGAAAATTTTATGGTTTTCAATTCATTGCGTTTGTGGGTTTATGTTAGTTTCTTAAATTTATCAGTTTTGTGTTTCGTTTTGCTTGGAAATTGGTTGTTTATGTTATTTATTATTCAGATGTTCCTTCTTGAAATATACATTTCGAGATGTTTTAAAAGAGAAATGTATACACAAATCTGCCTTGGCAGGAATTAACTAGCAGCGAGAGAGAGAGAGAGAGAAATGAATTGCATCAGTAGATAATATTTACGCAATTATATCTCAAACTTTTTTCATGACATTCTTATATCTACAAATTAATATAAATATAAAATTATTAATGATTATAGTTTCTTTCCAAAATTTTTAGAGCAAAAAGAATAATTTGATCATTGTATTTTTGAATGGTAAAATAAATTTGCAACCAAAGGAGTTAAAAAGCTCGCAGTTGGACCTTGGGTTGGGTCGGTCAATCCATCTATGGTGTGTATCAGTCGTCTTATCCCTTTTACCGGAGATGCGCTTCTGGCCTTAATTGATTGAGTCGTGCCTTCGATGCTTTTACTTTGAAGAAATTAGAGTGTTCAAAATGAGCTTACGCTCTGGATATATTAGTATGTGATTACATTATAGGATTTCGATCCTATTATGTTGGCCTCTGGGATCGGAGTAATGATTAACAGGAACAGTCGGGGACAGTCATATTTCATAGTTAAAGGTGAAATTCTTGAATTTATGAAAAATGAACAACTGCGAAAGTATTTGCCAATGATATTTTCATTAATCAAGAACGAAAGTTGAGGGCTCGAAGACGATTAGATACCGTCCTAATTTAATCGATAAATGATGCCAAGCAAGGATTGACGAATGTTGCTTATAGGACTCCATCGGCACCTTAATTCTAACAGGAATACAACTAATTTGCCATATATTATTACATGACATTCTCTCATTGGACATGATTATGCCATTTGTACACCTATTTTTGCCATCCTTGTTGACGCCTGAAGTGGTGTCAAAAAACCATTGGTTTGAAAAGCCCTTTTTTATTTAAAATGTCCAATGAGAGAATGCCATGTAATATTGTGTCAATTAAGGTGTAAAAGGTGATGTACACTAAGTATAATTGTAGATGGATAGTATATATGGATTTTAGGGTTGGATGTTTTCTCTCGAATGTTTTTATTCGGATTGTGCCCGTTATAAGGTTTTAGACTATCGATACGTTTAAAGTGCTCAATGTTGGAATTTTGTTCACTAGAGCCATTCTATTAGACATCTAGTAAATTAAAATGGATCAAGAAGGAATGTCACGGTACTTCTTGGCAAAGCAAGGCCAAGTGAATTGCATTGGCCAACACGACCTACCACATTTGGACAGCCTGAAGTATGTTGACTTTTGAAGATCTTAGACCGCAATCCCATAGCATTGTTAGACGGATTAAAACACACGTTTATAAAGTCATGTTTATCTTTTATCCTCATCTTTTAGTTCATTTTGAGCTACTAGCTATAGGTTGTTAGTTGATTGTATTGTTTGTACATCTTCGATCATCTTTGATCATGTTAGCCGGGCACGTTCGGTGCGTTTGGTACAAAATTTTTGATCTTTAAAAATTTACATTTACCGATAAAAAATATATATACAACTTTTTGCTCTGAAAATTGGAGAAATCTTTATGCTTTAAAAGGGTGGAGAAAGAGTAAAGTAATGGTTGGCGGTGTATTTGCATGAGATAAATGGGAGGATATCTCTTTTATCATCTTGAGATAAGAAATCAGAATCACAATTTAAAAAACTCAAAACAATCAATTCTATACTTCAAAATTGATGTTCTTTCTTAAGCAAACATCCAACAGTAATGTAAATGATAGAGTTACACGTGAAAACACTATTTAAGGAAATAAGAAATTTGATTATTATTATTTTTTAATTTTTTAATTTTTTTGGAAAGAATAAGGGGGTGTTCTCTTTGTGTTTCAATTTTGTGTTTTGAGTTTTGAATTCATTTTGAGTTTTGTATTTTGAGTGTTTGTTTTGAAATTGTTGAAAATGCGTTCTTTTTGTTAGTTTCTCAAAACAAAAAAAAATAATTTTTTTTTAAAT